CTGAGTTTCTTGATTGAGGTTTTGTTGTTGTGGGGGTGCCTATAGGGATTAACATCCACCAGAGCCAAGGAACTGAAATTCCTGGTTTTTTGGCCCTTACACTCATGGTTGTGTGGATGTTCCTGGAGTGAAGCCGTTCCCATTGATGAGCAGAGAATTGTCCTTTCCTGCCACCATCCCTGTGAATGCTCTGTTGGGAGGAATTCAGGGATGATGGGTGGGACAGGGGAAGGAGCTCTGCAACCTCCAACCTTGGAAGCAGCTCCAACTTCTGCCTTTTTTTGGATTCTGCTGCACCAGTTCATGTGTGGTTGGCTCCTGATCCTGAGTGGTGCAATGTCCCATGAAAATCTAAACCCTCCTGGCACAATTTGGGGCCTTTCCCTCTTGATTCCGTGGAGAAAAGAGCCCCTTTCCCAGCTCCCTCAGCCCATTGGACTGGGTAATGTCACCCAGTTGTCACTGTAGTCATTTCTTAATCTGTTTTTGATAAGTTTTGTGTGGGAGACAGGGTGAAAACCCCTGGCCTTTTGTGAACAGGAGGTGGGGTACAAACCGCCCCGACCTTTGGGCCTCAAATGTTCATTTTTGGCCTCTGTAATTATCCAGGAAGTTCTTTTGCAAGGATGAGACAAAGAGAGTTAAAAAAGGACTGTGGAGACTGAAGTGTGCTCAGGGTTTAGGTTGGTTTCCACCCAGCTGGAAGGAGATGTTGGTGTTGGATCAAACCCACTGGAGTGGGATTTTGGCTTTGGTGTCATCAAATTCCATCCTGTGACAAGGAGGAGCCTGTGTGTCCTCTGCCCCCAAGAGCRGGGAGCAGAGGCTGGGAACCAGCCCAGTTTATCCATAAAAACTGTGGCTTTTGGAGGTCATTAGTTCACATAATCTGAGTTCAGCTCGTGTTGTTTGTAGGCTGACATTTCCTTACTCCGCCAAACCCCTGTATGCAGGACCTAAAACAGTTCCAGTTGACTTTGGGGTGGTCCAAATTCAACCACTGGGGGTTTTTCCCAGCTTTCCAGTTGTTTATTTAAAACAAACCCAACAACAAAAAGAAGCYTTCAATCGGTTTTGCACATTTGAGCTGGAGTTGGGGGGAGAATTCCCTACGTTTCTGTGGAGCTCTTTGTGCGCTGACATCTGGTGATGTCAGTCCCTGCCTCCCCAGCTCCGAGTGTTTCCCTGGGATTCTCCAGATCCTTCTAACTSTGTTCACTTGTTTTCCTTGCAGACCCCTGTAAAAGAGCCCAACAGTGAAAATGTAGATATCAGCAGTGGCGGTGGGGTGACGGGCTGGAAGAGCAAGTGCTGCTGAACCTTCTCCTCTCTCACCAATCGCCATCCACCGCCCCTTTTTTCTCGCTGCAAAACAAACCACTCTGCCCGTTTTTTAACCTGAAACCAATGTTTTTTTGTTCCTCATCTCCTGCCTCCCCTTGGTTTTCCGGCTAGGACAGCTTTGCCTACTCCAATTTTCTCTCAACACATGTATAGGAAATTCATCTCCGTGACTTCATTTCCATGTCCCTGCTCAACTCACCACTACGTTTGGGTTGTATTATAGTCCCGTCCCTCCTGCCATTAAACCCCCAGAGCAATCATACTCAACTCTCTTCTGCAAATTGTATAAGAATAAAGGTTAGAATTAACAATTGATTTTGTACAACAGTGGAATTTTCTGTCATGGATCATGTGCTTGAGTCACCATATTCTCTAGATGCATCAGCAAGAGCCAGGAAAATCTCATTTTCGCCTTGAGTCCATGAGTGGGGTTTCTTTGTCCTGTGCCTTATGTGGAAAAAGGAACTTTTATTTTCACTTGCTTTTCTTTTTTTCTGGTGGAAGCATGTGCAGGAGACATCCCATCCCCCCCGTGCCATTGAGTCCTGACCTTTGTAGTGGTTGCTTTCTGTAACGTTGGTGTCATGCATCGAGGACAAAGGGTGGTGCAAAACAAAAGCAAACTCCATGTAATAACCTGCTGTGTCTCCTCTTGGCGATCCCGCCGCTCCCAACTCTTCCTGCTGCCATTTTTTTTTTCTCATTTGCCGCTCTTTCCTTTTTTTTTTTTTTTTTTTTTTTTTTTTTTTTTTTTTTTTTTTTTTTTTGCCTGCATGCTGCTTTGATTTGCATTTCTCCATGGTGTGATGTGTTAATGGAAAGGATGGCAACGCGGTGTGTTTGCCAAAAATTTAATACAAAGCACTGATTTAGCTTCCGAGGTAAAAAAATGTTGAGATTCCTACTAACCCCTCCTTAGCCCTGTCCGTCACTAGTGACTCCCTCCTCCCTCCCKCATAGCCCCGCCTTTCCCATATGGAAGAGTTATTTGCATGCACTAGTTTTTATGGAGGGTGATGTGGTTGTCTACTTTCTGTGTATRAATATAACATGGATTCCCAAACTGACAGCAGTTCATTAACACGAGCTCCCAGCCTCTCTCCCCGCCGGCCGCTCCGAGGGCTGCGGGAGCCGGGGAAAAAAACCGAGCGGGACTGGATGGAAAGAGAAGGAAAGGCAACAAACCAGCCAGCGGGCAGTTTAATTTATTACCTCCCTGGAAACTTTTCTGCTTTCCGGTGTCCAAAGCCCCGGCGTGGAGCGGCTTTTGCAGCTCCTTCCCTCTCCTGCCGCTGTCACCGGAGCCAGGACCGCCGGTCCCGGTGCCGAGCGCTGCTCCCGCTGAATTCTTCTCCGTGAATTCCTCTCCGTGGATCCCTCACCGTGGATCCCTCACCGTGGATCCCTCACCGTGGATCCCTCACCGTGGATTCCCGGCCCGGAGAATCCCTCCCGGAGCTCCCGATGTGGACACGCCGCAGCCTCCCCGAGCCCCGCTCTGCTCCCTGTGCCTCACTCGGGACTGTCACCGCTCCGTCCCCGCCGCGCTCGGGAACGCTGAGTGAATTTTAATGAAATGACGGTGTTTTTAACGTGGAACTTCTCGTCCGGAGCGGCTCCTTCCCGAGGTGTCTCCCTGTCCCTCTGTATTTGGCATTTTGTCCCCCGTGTGTGTTAACCCTTCCCAGGCGAGTGGCTGGTGGCTGTACAGAGTCCGGCCGCTTTTGGTTAAATCTGCACTTTCTAACGTGATCAAAAAGGGAAAAAAAAATGGCGAAATCTACATCAAGGCTGTTTTTTTGGGTTTTTTTTTGTTTTTTTGTATAATCCTTGTTTTAAACGTGAGCTTTTTATTTGGTAACAGGGGCCCTGCTCCTGTGTGTAACCCCTTTGTTGACGCTGTGCTCGTTGCAGGCACAGGTAGAGCCCRGGCCACTCGCTGGTGCCACTCGCTGCCGCCGCCGTCCCCTCGTCCCTCCCCGSTCAATAAAACTGAAATATTTCTATCGGGTCTATTTTCTGTTCCTGTCCAAGCTCGAGCTGCACCCGCGGGCTCAGGCGGGGCGGGGCCGGGAGGAGGGAGCAGCACGAGTCGGTGCCGATGCTGAAACAGATAAAAAAAACCCTAAAAATAATAATAATAATAATGATCAGAGGAGTTTGCAGTAACTTGATGGTATCTGAACTCCCTGCTAGTTCCAAACTAACTGCTTGTGAAATCTCTGCTTGGAACCCCAGCCCAGCCCTGTGGAGTAGAGAARGGCAGCGGGAGGTGACAGCAGCCCCTCCGTGCCCCCGGCCCCGCCCGCGGAGGGAGCTCAGCGCTGCCCTTTTGTCACCAAAAAAAAAAAAATAAAAAGTGTAAAAAGTTGAAATTGGTCCTGCTAAACCAAACCTGAGCTTGGCTCTGTCCCACGGCCGTGTCACTCGTGCCCTCGGACTCGGACGGTGGAATAAAAACAGCATCAAGGTCTTGGATTRAGTCCCCATGCCGACAATTTTTTACTTAATCTTTTAATATTTTTGCTACTCCACTCTGGCTTTTTATTTAAAACACATTCTTTTGTACCACTTACTGTATCAAATTGTATAAAAGATCACTGTCCCATTCTTGGTCGTACCAAGAGCAAATAAAAGCTTTTATAAACTTGCAGTGGTGACTTCCTGGGCCCCCTTCAATTCTCTCTGGCTCCAGTGGGGTGAGCTGAGCCCTGGCTGCCCCGGAGAAGGTGGGATGAGTTCCCCAC